GCAGAGTTTGTGGAGAAAGGTATGGAGAACCTTAGCACCAACTAAGATAAAATGCTTTACATGGTTGGTTGCTAGAAGGGCTTGCCTGACACATGAAGTGCTGAGGAGAAAAGGAAAGATTATAGTATCTTGGTGTTCATTATGCGGGAACGCAACAGAGTCCAACCAACATCTATTCTTGCATTGCAACTTTACAACACAAATTTGGGCCATCTTCCTTAGTCTCACAAAAACAAACTGGACCATGCCCGAGCATACTGCAGATTTGTTGAGTTGTTGGATAAGAAGAGGGGGGAGCAAGAGTCAAAAGGCATGGTGGAAGATAATTCCACATTGCATTTGGTGGATAGTATGGAAATAAAGAAATAGTAGAAATTTTGAAGATAGGTCCAATTCCATTCAGAAGGTTAGATGGGATTGTATTGCATGCTTTTATTTTTGGTGTAAAGAGAAAGGTTTAGAGGTTACAGAACAAATTGTAGAATTATTAGGACCCTTGTAAATATTTTTTTTAATTTTTTTTTCTCTTCTTTTGTTCCCCTCTGTTTGCAGGTCACCAGCATCTCCTTAATGCTGAAGAATACACCATTACCATTTTAAAAAAAAGAAGAAGAGACAGACCTATAACCAACCAAAATTCCCTTTTCAGCTTTTTCATCAAGCTTGCTCCGTTTGACAGTTGGTACATGAGTATAACACAATGAACCAAACACCTTTAGATGTTGATGGTTTTATGCAATTCCAAGCTTCAACTGGTGTCCATTTCATCCATGGCCCTAGTTGGCAACCTATGTTGCAAGTAAATCGATGTGTTTATCGCCTCTGCCTAAAAAGAGTTTAGCAACTTTTTCTTAAAAATCTTATACCTGACCATCTCAAGGGTAGACTATTTTTTCCTTTAAGAAACTCCATTTTGCTGGGGTGAGTAAGTGACTGTAAGTTGATGCTCAATTTCCATATCATCACAAAACAAATGAAATTCACTTCAAGTATACTCCTTCCCGTAGTCTGTTATGAGAGTTTTCAACAAGCATTTACTTTGAGTTTCACAAAAAGCTTTAAACTTCTTGAAAACAACAAATACTTTAAGCTTTTGCTTTAAAAAATATACCCAAGTTCATTCTCAAAAATAAAATAAAATAAAACATTCTCAAAAAAATATACCCAAGTAATTCGAGTGAAATCAGCTATAAAAAGAATAAAATACTTGCTGCCATTGAGCAAAGGAGTTTTCATCAGTCTACAACTGACTTTGAAAAAGGCAATCTGTGTTGCTTTCTTAGTTGACAACTTTCACACACAGGTCCTTCACTAATCATGCTTTTGAGCATATTGAATTGATTTCAAGTTATAATTGCCAAGCCTTTTGTGCCATAATTTTGAATCCTATGCACATCTACTACTTCAACAAGCTTGTTCAGAATTTGATCTCCAATTCAAAGAGAACTTCTTTTGATCATTCAACATTAATCACTTTTTGTCCACTAGGTTCAAAAACAACACATTTTCTATCTTTGAACAGTAAAATATAGTCTTGTTGTAGCATTTGACCAAATCTTAACAGATTTTGGTCAAGATTAGGCACCAACAAAACATCTTGAATAAATTTAGTACCTTTGGGAGCTTCAATTGCCACAGTTTCTTTACCAACAATCGTCAACTTGCTTTTATTTGCATACTTGACAAGGCCTTTGACAGATTCCAACTTTGTAAAGTATTCTTGTTTACTAGTCATTTGTTGAGTGCAACCACTGTCCAGAAACCAGATGCTTTCATCATCCAATCTCGTTGCTATCATCTCTATAAACACAAACTCCTCCTGGTCCTCAACTTCAGAAACACTGGCTTGAGTTTGTTGGTAGTTCTCCTTCTTCACTCTGCAAAACCTTTCAACATGGGCAAGCTTGTTGCAATATCTACATTGAAGAGGTTGTTTCTTCTCTTTAAACCAACAATCATCCTATTTATGATTGGTTTTTCTGCAGAACTTACATGGTGGAAAGTTTTCTTTCTTCTTGTCTCCGTTGTGAGAATCACCTTGTTTTTTCTTTTAAAACTTGTAGAAGTGTCGGATATTTTCCTTCATTTTGCATCTGCATCTGCATCTTCCCTTGGAACTTGGCTTGAGGAGCAGTTTCAACAGCTTCTTCTAGCCTCAAGGATCTTCTCTACTCTTGAGCTTGAAGAGCATGTACAAGTTCTGAAGGTGACATATGGTTTCTGAGTCCTTTACTCTGAGAATTTCGAACTCTCTTCTCAGATTTATCACTTTTTATTTGCCTGGTCTTGTCACTTCCTTAGAATTCTTCTTTCAACTTGTCCCAAGCCTCCTTTGCAGTCTCATTAGCCATAACTCTAGTAAAAATTACTTCTGAAAGTGCTGATGGTATGCAAGAGAGAGCTTTAAATTTTTTTGAAACCTCTTCTCTGTGATTCTTAATTTGCTCCATAGTTGGATTATTTGGCAAAGGATTTGTCGCTCCTCCAACCTCTACCACTTCCCACAAATCATATGCTCGCAAATAGGTTCTCATTTTACAGCCCAAATTGGATAATTCTCTCCAGAAAAAATAGGGGATGAAGTAATCAAGAAATAGTTGGTTTTAGTGCAGGTTTTCTCTTTCTTCTGGTTGACTCTAACTCACAAGCCCTTGGAATAAAAAAGCTACTGATACCATTTGTTCTATAGAGAAGAGGAAACAATACTGGAACCAAAATATTCTGCTTATTTTATTCATTCACGTCATAGAAATAAATAGATGAAAGTCTCCTATTCTATTTCAACTAGGCTACTAAATAAACTCCTATTCTACCTCTACTAAATAGAGAAAATGGTCAAATGCCCCTCAATCTATTACCGGATTCCCAACTACACACTTAAACTTCACGAGAGTCCTATCACCCCCTTGGAGTGTTTAAAACTGAAATTATCATCTCCCTAAATGCTTATGTGGTGAAGTGAGTGTATTTCACTCTCCCTAAGAGAGCGAGCACCGAAAACAAATATCAAAACTTTATTTTTAGTGTGTGTATATATATATATATACATAGAAACCTCTTCCTTCTTCGTGACCAGATCTGTCCATCTCCCGTCATTTCTACGTCGCTGCTGCCATTACTATCTTCACCGGATTTACCATAGAACTTTTGTATTCCTCTTGATTCTAATTTGTGTATGGAATTAGGAATATTTGAAAATCAACTCTTTATCGATATTATTGTAGTTGTTAATCATCCTTGTACATGGTCAACCCACAAGGTTAATTCGGTTGGCAAATTCTTATTTTGGTTCTTCGGAGCTCCAAATTATTAATTTTAATCCAAACCAACGAAGAATTTTGAATTTCCGATGAAACCCAAATTTGATTTTGAAAATAAAATGTTTTTGGCTATGGCGATTGAAAACAACAATGGAGTGTTTGTTTGTACCATCAAGCGGCCTAAGATCTGCATCTCGATCTGTTCACATGGTCGAGAAGCTTTTCCGGGCCGGCTCGCCAGATTCAATTTTTCTCCATTGTTATGTATTCATTAACTCCAATTTGAGAAATTTGACATATGCATTCATGGAAATGATCTTAATACCAATCAAATAGTGGACGAAATGACAAATGGGAATCAAAATCCTTGCCGACCTTCTCCTTTTCAAAATTGAAGTCGTCGCCGCCAACGATGACGATGATGTGGAACACATCGTCGGTTTCTCCTAAGATTTTTGTTGTAGCAAGTCAACATTCATTGAAATGATATACACTAAATTGATTAATGGATGAGAGATTGTAGTGATTGGTAGACCTTTGGTGTTTATAGTAATGGAGAAAATGGTGAAAATATTTTTTGGTTTGCAAAGATGGTGAAAAAATAGAAGAAAAGAGTGAGGAATAATGAAAAAATTGAAGAAAAACTTTTTTTTAATGGAATTTCCACGTGTCAAAGTGTGAGTTTCACCCATCAATATAAATGTGGTTGTGGCTTTTTAGGGGTACAATAATTTCAATTTTAAACCGTTCAGAGGGGATGATAGGACCCCCGTGAAATTTAAGTGTGTAATTGGAAATCTGGTAATAGATTAGGGGGGCATTTGGCCATTTTCTCCTACTAAATAACTAAATTTCAGAAATAGAATACTAACTTAAAAAGAATCAAAGACAGTAAATATCTCAATACTTCAACACTTCTATACACCTACTTATTTTAAGGAGCGGTTTTGTCAAAATGGCTTTTCAGAGAAGTGCTTTTGGAGAGAAGCAATTTGTGTGTGGCTAATTCATTTTATAATCTCAATACTTCAACATAATTTGTGTTTGTCAAAAGTGCATTTCTTTTTTTAGTATTTGAAAAAGGCATTGTGTTCGGATAGTTTTTTCCCTAACGTGCTTTTGAGTGCCAAATTATGAAAAAGCCAATATTAAGGTTCATTATACAATTAGTATTACTTAACTAGAAAAGTGTTTTAAATATTTTTATGAAAGATTTTACTCAAGTTTTATTTAGTTACAATTTAAAGGAAGCTACTTAGTCAGGGGTTTTGGTGGAGTAGCGTCATTTAACCATACCAAAACCAATATATATATATATATATATATATATATATATTAGAGTTGGGGGTGGGGGGGTGTTCCAGTGAGGTGTCTGAAACTGAGTGCGAATGAGGTGATCTGTCAGGTTTTCTTTCCTAACTTTTATGCAATTCTACCTGGGCGAGGATTGAGGCCTTTTCTATTGAACTTGGGCAAGTTATGGTGCCCTTTATTACATGCTGGTTTCTATTAGGACAATATTATTGTATCTAAGGAAAACAAAATCCCTTTAATTATTGCATTTTCTATGAAGTTTTTATGGCAAGCTGGAGAACACGTCTTTTCTTATGGAATCCAAGGCTTCAAAATGCTGATGATGTCTCATTTATGCCTCTCTGCAGCCATTTCTTTTACCCCTGTGTGCCAGAGTATTGGCCTAAAGATGTGCTATAAAGCTGACCAATTAGTTTTATTTCTTAGGTTCTGTCTGCAGAGAAGTTTGAGCATCTTGGCTTTATATTCTATTTTGGTGAAGGATCTGAGAATATCCCATTGAGTCAGAATGCCCCATTTTTTGCTAATTCAGATCCAAACATGCCAGCTGTTCCTGTTCCTGCAGCTCAGCTACATGATTGGCTTCTACAAAATATAGCGTCTACATTGGAACACATAACTGAGAGTAGGGCTTCTGCAAAGGAAAATGGACCAACGAGTGCCCCCGATCAGGATGTGCCAACGGCTGATGTCTCTGCAAGTACAGTAAAGAATTCATCAAGTCCTAGAGGCCCAAATTTCATTGAGGGAATCTCTAAAACATCATATGTACGGAAGCCAAATGATCTTAAAGGCTCTTCTGTGAAGGTATATTAACTAAATTTCTGATGTTCTCGTTGTCAAAGTTATAAGTTGCATGATTCAGTTATCTACAAGACAGTATTTTGTTGGTAACTTGAGTATCTTTTCTTAGTCTTTACCCGTAAGGTATTTGATAGATTGATCTTAATGCCTTGGATTTTTTAAATAACGGAAAAGGGCCAAAAATACCCTTGAGCTATAGGAAAAGGCCTAAAAATACCCTTCATTCACCTATTTTGCTAAAAATGCCCCTCCACTCATCTTTTTGGCTCACTTATACCCTTGAAACTAACAACTTCTTTTTATTTTATTCTTTAAAAAATTATTTATTACATGTCATTTTCTCATTTGTGAAATAAAAACTCCCCTAACTGATGACATGGCAAATAAGATCAGCTACAAATTACATGTCAACAAATAAAATAAAAAGTTAAAACTTGACAAAAGGAATAAAATGAACTGAAGATCAACAGAGTATCGACTTTTTCCGACAACTAATTTTTATCAGAAATTTGTACTTAATAGTGTCACATATATTGCCAGAATAAATGGAGATGATCGGAGAAAATCTGTACTTGTAGTGTCACCTTTATTACTTGTGAAAATTGAAAAATTTAATTGATTGTTGAAAATATATTGCCGGAATAAGTGGAGATGATAGGAGAAAATTCTACCACTTAACCCTGCAATATCATCACCAAAATACGCAACTGATTACCAACGATTAGCCCGTAAAACAGCATCGTCCACAAGGCTTCCCATCTATCCCCTTTACCAAATAGGCATTGTTATCACATAAGCTAATGACCAATTCACCTGTAGCCACACTAGAATTGGTACGGGCACAAAAAATAGCCAAATAAGAGGTGATTTTAGTCATATTTAAGTTGTAGTCCGAGAGATTGATGAATTTGGGGTAAGATTTAACAGAGGAAACAAGGTTGATGGGTTTTATCTCCGGTCATCTTCATTTATTCCGACAATATATTTTCTAACAACTAATCAAAATTTTCAATTTTCATAATATTAGTAAGAACGAACTTTTCCAAAAATTTTAGGTACCGAAAAACTAGATACTTTGTTGGATCTTCGATTCACTTTATCTCTTCTCGTTCTCTCGTTCTTAACTTCTTCTTTTTTCTAATATGTAATTTTTAGTTGATCTTATTTTCCATGTCATCAACTTTGGTTGGGGTGGGATTTTTTTATTTTACCCAATAAGAAAGTAACACTAGATAAATAATTATTAACAAAAAAAATAAAGAAAGGGCTGTTAGTTTTAACGATATAAGTGAGCCAAAAAGGTGAGTGGAGGGGTATTTGTAACAAAATAGGTAAATGGAGGGTATTTTGAGACCTTTTCCTATAGTTATTTGTAGTCCTTTTCCGTTTAAATAAATCACCCCGGTGGTCTGATTTAAGGAGGCTTATTCCGCTTGTGCTTTTTAGCCCCTGTTGTCCTAATGCATATCCTTGGTTTAATTATTCACTGAATCCGAATAAATTTTCCTGGAGTTTTATAATTCAGAAGGTGCTCTATGTTCTAAAAGGTACAGGATTCTGTCCTACCCATTTGTAAAGTTATCGAGATATAGCATCGTCAAAATGTGCTACTGTCGCAGCATATAAATATGGAATTGAATCTACTGCGATCAAAATATTCAAAAATTCTACTGCAATCACCTTTTGTTCTTTCCTCATAGTACTGAATTCGATTTGTTCCAGATTGTTATCCAATCACTCTGTTCCTTGTAGAGTGAAAAAAATTCGACAATTCCCTTCTGAATATTCTCCTCCTCTGGAATTTTCTCCTCGTGAATGGATATCCTTCTAGTATAATCCTTCTCTTTGAGCTGGAAGCACAGTAGTGTGATGAGCTTAGGTGCAGTGCAATTTGGGTAATCTTCTTAGGTGAAAATTAGTCTTGGATGATGATTACTTTGTTATGATATTAGAATGCTCCGTGTTGGATAGAATGCAATAAATTCCACATTTTAAAAAGAACTTCAGATGGTTGCGCTGTACCTTGTAAGAAACTAAAAATTCAGGCATAGAACACAAATGATATGATGCTTCATGGCTGAAGAAGTGAGGTCAGTTTCCGGTGATGTTGTATATATCTGCTCTTGTCCTTGTATTTTGATGTTTACCATCATAATTATATGCTATCACACACACACACACACACACACACACATATATATATATATATATCTATGTGTGTGTTTATTTATTATCTAAGGAAATCAATATGATTTCGAACTTGTCAAAAAAGAATCTATTTTGTTGACCCAATGGTGTGGCGTAGTGGTCAATGAAGTGGGATGAGTCCCACGAGGTTTTAAGTTCAAATCCTAGTGACGACAAAAACCACCAGGAGATTTTTCCATCTGCCTAAGCCTTAGTGGGCAAAGTTACCTGGTACCTATCTAGTGGAGGTAACATGTACCCATGGAATAGTCGAGGTACACTCGAGTTGGTTGCGTACCACCATCATGAAAAAGTATCTGTTTTTATCTTCTAATTTTTGTCTGTCCATTTTCAATTTGCGCGAGTAAATAGTAGGCTTAATACTATTGAAACTTGAAGTAAGCTATGTCGTGTAAGTAGACACGACTAATATTTTAGTTATCAACAAGGAGAATTTCTCTCACTGCATCAAAGTCGTGACATTGTGAGATCAATGTCATGCTCAATTCATTGAAGAGGATTTGTTTTGCAATCTTTTTTGGGGCCTCTTTGGCTCTTTGTTAGTAAGTTTCTTCCTTTGGTTTTTCTTTCTTGTACCGATCAATGATAAGTTCAGCATATACCTGGAATTTTGGCTGTTTGATGCATTTTTTTTGACAATTTTAAAGCATCCACTCATGTGCCCTTGGTGTGTCGTGTATATATATATATCCATTTGCAATTTGGTGATAGATTCTTTAAGGTTAGAAGAGAAGTGCACCAGAGTGCTATAACAAGTAATCATAAAAAGAGAAGTGCACCAGAGTATGTTCATAAAAACAACAGTGTGTGGAAAATAATAGGAAGATATAGTGGATAAATTGTTGGAATAGGGCCTCTTACTAGTGTTATAATTGTAACGCCCCAAATTTCCAAGCTATGACCCGAGCCGTTCTGTAAATGCATATAGACTCCAAATCTGATGATTTCTAATGTTAGATAGGTATTTAAAATAATTTCTTTATTTGGAAGATCTTTGGATGTGAATCAAGGTTATAAGGAACTCCTAGAGTATTAAGATTTTGTGGCCTAATACCAAGAAAACAAAAGGTCATGAAGTCTTTGTTCCAACACTTTTGACCGTTCGTCAATCCAAGTTATGTCCTAAAAGCTATGCATATTTTATTGGGCATTACGGGTTCTGCGCAATCCACTGCGCGAAGTAGACATCAGCCGTGCGGCCGCATGGTAGAGGCAGTAGCACTATTAAAGTCACGCGAAGTAGGCACCAGCTGTGCGACACGCACCAGCTCCGAAATTGTTTAAGTCTTCTCTTCTCTTCACGTTTTAAGAGGGGTGTTTTTGTCCTTTCCACATATCATAACCCTAACCCATGACTATTGACTTCCCTCATAAGTCATATTCAAAGAGATTTTTGATAAGTTACGACAAACTTTTTTTCTCTTCTTCCCCAACACTTTAAGAAGCAAGATCTAAGGTTAATTCTCAAAGTTTCTTTCCTAAGTTCTTCGTCAAAAGGTCTGTTTGAACACTCCCTACTTCAAACTACTCATACAAGGTTCATATTCTATTATTTGTATTTCCCAAATTATGATTTGAGGTTGGAGTTGAGAGATGATTTCATGAAAATTGATTACAAATGTTCATCTCTTGTTAATTGTGTTCAAATACTTTATTATGATTCCAAAAATTGGATTGTTGGTTTTGAATGGGTGAATTGTCTCATATGCTTTTGAAAATTGAAAAAGGTTTTTACTATAAATAACGAATTTGGAAATCTATGAGTCGTTCAAAAGCTTTAGTTTAAAGTGATCAACAAAGGGTAACTTTCCATCATGGTTAAATGCTAATGATTTTGCATTTTATATGTTGTCTTATAACTTGGAGAGACTTGGATGTTGGCATTGAACGGAATGTCTTAATATAAATGAGTCTTTGGTTTTAAAGGACCAGTTAAGAGTTTGAAATGGTTAAATGTGAAATATGGGATGGTTATAATGGCTTGCAAGTCTTGATATGACGATACCAATTGGAATATGCCTTATTCGGATAACTCTTAATAAATGGAAACTTGTAAATGTTTTAATAGGGGGCTTAAAGAGAGTTTGCTAGTATCAACGAGAAGGTGCAATATCCTTGTGACTCATCACCCGAAACCGCATTTGCCGACGTTGAAGGTCCTTGTCCTGAAATATGGGATGACCACTATAGGTTGTTAAATCAGAGCAGCCTCTACAGTCTTTTATTTGGGAGAGTTTTGTTCGCCAGATTCTTATACTTCTCAATTCCATGCGACATACATGGATTGGGACCCTCGGTCCGGCAGAGGCCGGACCCATATAACCCATGGGTCGCATTATCTCGGTGAATACTACCTTACTCAAGATTAATGATTTTTGAAAGGTCTATTCCAAATGCTTTGGGTCTGCACTTATGATTTCACCTTTCTTTTATGGTTATGTTTTATATATGTATACTGTTTATCCTTTTTCCTTGGGTTGCATGTCAGTATTCGCCGTACTGACTGTCCTCGGACGCTACATCGTTTCATGAGGTAGGATCAGAGACACAAGTTCGTGGTTCCAGGCAACAGTAGATCATTGAGGGATAAAACTCAACGTTGTGGTGAGCTTTCCATCTTTCGAAAAGTGGACTTTTCTTTATCCGTCTTTCCTTTGTTTTTCATGGTATGTCGGGGGCCATGTCCCGATGTAGACATTGTTATTTTGTTAGTAGAGGTTTCGTAGACCTATGGTTAGTTGGAATTGGTTTTCTAATTAAGAGTTAAATTGGTTTTCCTGTTTTGAAGGTTAATT